GGAACCTCATCGACGTAAGTGCCTATGGACTTCCAGGATGCCATCTCTGCGTCCATGGCTGTCTGCCACTGAGAGGAGTACTCACCCGCGATCGCCTCAGCGTAAGAGCGCGGGGTGGGGACGTCTGGTGCGGCGGTTGGTGCATCCGCCCAGGTGTGGCCGGTGTGGCTGCAGGAGGGTGCGTCGTTGGCGTTTTCGGTAGGAGCACCGGCACAGTGTGGGACGGAAGTTGTTTTTTAAGCCACAGAAAAGATCGGAAAAAACCGCCTCTGACTAGACTGTCTATCGCTAGGGTCACTGCTGTACCAGCAACAAGATCGGCGACATTTTCGGAGCAATAGCAACGGCCGACATTTGTGCTTCAGGCGGCACAGCACCCCCTGATTAAGGGTAGTTGCGTCGCATACAGGGCAGTGCACCAACGGGACAACGTTTCGGCGTAGTGTTTAGACCCGCGATTTTCGGGGGTTCTACCGGCTACAATACACGGAGTTGTCTACCCGACGGCGGTGTAGCGCCAAAGAAGGGGTTTCCGAAGCTGTGGAGTTTTAAATGCGATAGACGCGGTGGGCAACGAAGCGGCCGGCCCGACTGTTTGATCCGATAAACATGATCCGGCTACGATAGCGTTCGCGCCTTCACCGAATGTCAGAAAAATCGCGGGCAACACGGAGTTATACCTCATCCGACAAAAGCAGACGCTGGGTGAACGGCGGCAACCGAAATTGTCGGGGGGTGAAGATAAAAAACAAATGGAGGGAAATTTGTGGGTGCTCCAGCAGATCTCCAGAGTGAAAGGTTGAGCCCGTACACCAATCCACCGCGAATTTCGGAGTCTATTCGGTAGACCCCCGAAAGGGTTTGATATTGTTACATGGAGGCGCGGCGAGCGGTGTACCGCCAAGGATACCTGGGATTCGTTAAGTAATTTTGATGGGTGCGAAGACGGGTGAACGTCGGAGTACCAGGGTTAACGGCGGAAACGTCGGGGTTACGCGGCGGAAAATACTTCGGGTCTGCTTCAACAACCATGACTTTCGGGGTTCTTTCCTACGGTGGGAGACGGGTGAACGTCTGCTCGCCAGCTGTTTCAGCGGTTTACGGTGTACTTTGAAGCCATCTGGGGAAATTCTTCTACGGCGAGATCTGCGGCGTTGATGCGGGCTAGGTTCCGTGAAAATCGGTCCCGGTAGACCCATGACTCTGGGTTCCGCACGAAAGAGCACCTCCTGTTGGTGGGTTGCTAGTGTGGTTAACCACGGAGAGAAAAATGGCGACGGGTGGGCACGCTAGATACACTGGTTCTTCAAGGGGATAACCTGTAGGTGACCAAGACATACAAGAACTTTCGGCACTGACATTTACGGAGAGTACTGAGTCTTGGTTTTACAAGAGTTGGCGGTGACTGCCGACAATTTCGTACAAACGGCGGAGTTGCAGCGGCGCTGGGATAAGCGCACGAAAACTGCCGGGGTGGACTTCTTGGCGGCAAAATCTGTGGAGTTTCAGGGGTACCAGCCGCAACACAGGTGAGAATTATCGCAACAGGTGTGGGGAGGAAGAACAGCTTTTTTCGCCTCTGCCCCGACTTTCTCAGCGCGTAACGACAACGTCACCGGTGTAGCTGACGTCATCGACAGTTCGAGTTCAACTTTTGAAAATTATTTGCGAGGTCAGGGGGAAGAGTAGCAGCTGTTTTCGCCTCTGCCCGGGAGTTTTCGGAGCAACGCGACAAAGGCCTCGGCGAGTGACGACAGGACCGCCGGAGGTGCTGACAGCTGGAGCAGTGACAGCAAGGAGTTTGCCACAGCAACACGACAACAAGACTGCAGCAATTTCGGAGGTTGCATATGTTGGCAACCGAAGATTCAGCAGCAGCAGGGTGATTCGATGCTGCCACGCAAAGATTTCGGGGTGGCAGTCACGAGAGATGCTGCAGCAGCAGTCGCGATTACAAGACAGAATATACAGTCCAATTATTAGTTTCATTCGGAGTTTTCAAGTCCAAGCGCCCAACAATTTTACCTGCTCAACGGACTTCGAAGCAATTAACCCTGGCATTTTTCGGGGTTTCCGACATTGTAGATTTCGCCACCGACAGCAATTTCGACTGCACAGCGGCTGAATTTTAGGTGGGAGGTCATAACACTTGGTATTCTAGTCTAACCTCCGAAGCAGGGAGGTTGTGGTTTTGTGCCCGCGCAGCTGTGCACATTTTGGTGGGCAGCAGTTATTTTCAGGGGGGGGAGAAGGAGTGCTCTCGCACTGTACTTGTCAGTTTTCTGATAGTTCGTATGACAGCCTGCACGACGGACGCTCGCGATAAGCTCCAACGACATCGACGGCTTCGGACTCCTCGTTTTCTGACATGCGTCAGAGCTGCCTGTCGAGATAATGAGTAGAAAGTTTAGAAGCAGAAAGAGAGAGGTTTCACTAGCAGCAGTTGAGATACAAATAGCAAACCCTAACTGGGTTGTACTCGCTATAGAGCACCCCACTGCAGGCTAGAGAATATAACATTCTGACACACCCCCATAGCCAAAGTGGGGTGTAATCAGCACAACAAGCAGTCATAGCAGTAGTTCACAATTTATGAGCAAAGCTAGAGGCAGTCACAGAGGGCAAGTGAGGAGGAGGAGGGCTGGCGAGAGGAGAGAAGATGGGAGGCGACGACTGAAGCTGCAGACACACGGGCAACAGAAGCGCTGGTGCGACTAAGTGGCTACCGGGAGCAAGTGCCCCGGAATACAGGAGTAACAGGCTCTGCGGCTGATCAGCAGCGGCAGGAGCAACGGACCCACGGGCGACAGGTGCAGCAGGCTCTCTGAGCTACCGGCGGCCACTAGAACCCCGGAATACAGGCGCTGCGGACGACACGACGGCTGCCTCCACTCAACCTCCCCCAACTGTCCCACACACCCCCCACATACCCACTGTTTCACCCCTAACTCCACTTGCACGCCACCCCCTCATACCACTCTGACGGCTCCAACACATCCACCCCCCTCAGCGGCAGCTGCAGCAGTGGGAGACGGAGGAGGAGGAGGAGCAGGGGACGGCTGATAGAGACGGCACCCCCATACAATCCACCCCCAAACCCTAATTCAGTAGCACGAGCAGCAGCAGGGGTGGGGCGCCGTCAGAAGCGCGGGGGACATTGTGCGGCTCAAGGGAAGAGGAAACGGGGCGCCCACGGGCCTGGCGCAGCCCGTACGAACCGCGCGCAGGCGGCTCGAGGCGCGCCCTGGCCTGGCGCAACCCGTACGGGCCGCGCGCGGGCCGCGCGCGGGCCTGGCGCAGCCCGTACGGGCCGCGCGCAGGTAGTACGGGCCGCGCGCGGGCCCTACGCAGGTCGCGCGGGCCACGACGGGCGACGGGGGGCGACGCGCGGGTCCCCGTCGCCCGTCGCAGCGCCTCCCGGGGGCGACGCGCGGAGTGACGGGGCAGAAAGCCGCCGCGCGCCTCGGGGCGCACGGCGGGCAGAAAACCGCCGCGCGCCTCGGGGCGCACGGCGGGCAGAAAACCGCCGCACGCTCCGAGCGCGCGGCGGGATGAAAAATCCGTCGCACGCCACGGGGCGTGCAACACACAGAGTAGCAGTAGCAGCGGAAGCAGTGAGGTGGTGGGCCCACCCACAGGATCGACCCAGGAGGGTCAACCTGCTCTGATACCATGTCGAGATAATGAGTAGAAAGTTTAGAAGCAGAGAGAGAGAGGTTTCACTAGCAGCAGTTGAGATACAAATAGCAAACCCTAACTGGGTTGTACTCGCTATAGAGCACCCCACTGCAGGCTAGAGAATATAACATTCTGACACTGCCGCCATACATCGCGTTCATCCCTGCCGTCCGAAACGTATCAGCTACATCAACGGCTTTCTTTCATCGAAATATTTCAAATCGACATTCACTTTCAACCGCCGCGATCGACATCAGCACAATCAACGGGTGACATCCCAACTCTTTGAAATTCGCCTGGTCAACGCGCTCAGCCACGCTTCAACTCGAAAGTCAACAACGCTTCCGCGCCGTCAGATTGGTTTTCGACCGAGATCTGCAGTTTTCACGCTACTGCAAGACTCGCCTACATATAGGGTCACCTTATTTAGAAGGTGGGAGAGCGTAATCAATGAGAATTCATTACTGTAGAGGCTGTTCCTAGCGAGGACAGCCCGAACTGTTCGCGTCAGTTTGGGCTCGGCCTACACTTTCGTACCGAACCAGCGCCGAGTCGCCCCGCACCAATCGCGACACTTCCAAGCCTCGCACGTCCCGAGGCCCTCGCCTAGCACGGTTTCGACCCTATAAATGCATGCCTCTTTATCGTTCTCGACATTCTGTAATTCTCATGTTTTTTATAAAGTCTTCCGCGCACTCTTCTTAGTACAACTGTAAGGAATTTTTCCGAATTCCTTATCGGGGTTGACTGCTTCGCGTACAACCCGATTTTCGGACTTTGCACGTTCGGCCGATTTCAACGCTGCCGAGGCTCCTCGCGTCGCCTTCGGCATTTCCCGTCGCCCAACCTGCACCCAACCTCGCTCGTCCGAGGTTCCCTCCTAGCTAGGCTAGCCCTACATTAGTCTGTGCATTCATTGTATTCTCAGTTCATTCAAGCCTCGTTATTCGTTTTGTCAAGATTACGAGACTGGAATGGTTGAACTAACAGAGAAATCAGTACAAATGGCAAACCCTAGAATTGTGTACCCCATATAGGCTAACCCACTGTAGCCTAACAAACCCAACATATATAATGTTTGACACACCCCCATAGGCAAAGTGGGGGAGACCTAGGGGTCACAAGACCAGTCAAGGCAAAGCAAGGCAACAACAAGCTCAGGGTGGATCTCGAGGATTCCACACAAATTCCGAGCACAAGCTAGTGGTCACAAGACCAGTTCACATGCAGGTTTATAACAGAGCCAGAGATACAGTGATCACAACCTAGCAAGAGTAAACATGCAGGTATAGATATATATAGTGATAAAAGTACAAGCAAAGTCAAGAGGTAAGCAAGTGAGGTCCAGTAGGCACAAGGCCTAGTAGAGTGCAGAAGCGCTGATGGTCACGAGGCTGAAGCGCCTTGGTGAACACATCAGCAGTGTTGGCCTCAGTGGCCACGTAGCGAATACAAAGCTGACCGCGCTGCTGCAGCTCTCGAGCAAGGAAGTACCGCAGGGCGATGTGCTTCGTTCTGTGCTCCAGTCTGTGCTCCTCACACAAGGCAATGGCTGCCTTGTTGTCAACGTACAGTACTGGAGGAGAACGAGGCGGCTCTCCGAGGTCAGTCAGCAGGTAGGTCAGCCAGCGTAGCTCCTGGGCAGCCATGGCTGTAGCGTAGATCTCAGCCTCGCAACTGGAGCCGAGAACAGAAGAAGAGCGTGTAGAGCACCAAGAAACTGAGCCAGAGCCAAGGCTGAAGGTGTAACCCTGAGACGACCGCTGAGTGGCCTGGTCGTCTGCCCAAGAAGCGTCTGAGTGCCCTGTGAGCACAACTCGGTCTCGCCCTCCAAGCACTAGCCCCATGCCCGACGTACTGCACAAGTAGCGCAACACCCTCTTAGCGGCATCCATGTGCTCCTTCCTGTGACGGCCAGGAGCGACATAGCGTGCAAGGATGCTAAGAGGGTATGCAAGGTCAGGTCGAGTGCAGGTCATCAGGTACATGAGGCAGCCCACAAGCTCTGGATACGGGCCACTCGGCTCTACGGACTCATCCGAAGGCAGAGCTGAGAGCGAGTGACCGGTAGGCAGAGGAGTGGACTGAGGCGAGGAGTACGTGAAGCCGAAGCGCTGGAGAACCTGCTGCACCATGTGTGACTGAGTCAGGGTGATGGTGCGCCGTGCTCTGTCCCGGGTGATCCGCAAGCCAAGATAGCTTGTCAGCTCACCCAGGTCTGTGCACGTGTGTCTCCTCTGCAGCTCCGACTTCACGTAGGCGAGTCCTGCAGTGTCAGCAGTGGCAAAGACCAAGTCGTCGACGTACACGAGGATGTAGAACGGCGGCAGCGAAGTGTCGGTGCGCAGGAACAGCGACGGGTCAGCTGTAGAAGGCGCGAACCCAAGAGCCGCAAGTGTAGTCCTCAGTGTGTCGTGCCACTCACGCGGAGCCTGGCGGAGACCGTAGACCGGCCGCTGAAGCCTCCACTGGGTACCAGGAGGAAACGACCCAGTGAAGCCAGGTGGGCGGCGCAGCCAGATCTCCTCGTGCAGGCTGCCCTGCAAGAAAGCAGTGCTGAAGTCAAGTGAGTGAAGCTCGTAGTCGCGGTGAGCGGCTATGTGCAGCAGCACCCGAAGAGTGGTCATCTTTGGGGTGGGGGAGAAGGTCTGGAAGAAGTCAACTCCCTCTCGCTGACTGAAGCCTCGAGCCACGTAACGCGCCTTGAAGACAGGCGGAGAACCCGACGGCCGCTTCACCCTGAAAATCCACATGCCACTGACGATGTTCGCCCCAGGAGGGGGAACCTCGTCGACGTAGGTGCGTGTGGACTTCCAGGAAGCCATCTCGGCGTCCATGGCCGTCTGCCACTGAGAGGAGTAGGGACCCGCCATCGCCTCAGCGTAAGTGCGTGGGGTCGGGATGTCTGGTGCATCCGGGTCTCCCTCAGGGGCAACTAGCAAGGACACGAGACGGGGCAAAGCAGCAGCAAGACACTGGAACTCCTCCTGTCTGTCCTCAAGGACGTCCGTGCCAAGAGCACACTCACCCCCGACGGACGGAGGACAGGCAGACTCAGACTCAGACTCAGCGACAAGGCTGGCAGCGTAGTCTAAGCGACAGCGAGCAGCAAAGTCAACCAACTCAGCGACCAGAGCAGACGCAGCAGAGGACTCAAAGGTCGGGTCAGTGACAACTGTAGCGAGGAGACGCGTAACAGTGGGACTGGCCGCACGACGGGAGTCAGACTCCGGGTCAGGAAGAGTAGGAAGAGAGGACGCAGGAGGAGACGGCAGCGGGACACGCTGCGGAGCAGTGGAGGGACGCAAAGTCATGTAGTGAGTGCCAGGGACAGGAGGAGGACGCTCACGCGGGACACGACGACCAGTGCGAGCAGGACAAACAGGCGACGCAGGACGAGACTCAGGCTCACGACGCTCTGTAAGACCTCCTGTGGGACCAGCGTAAGGAGAGGGAGCAGGGAGAGGCGAGGCAGGCGGTAACTGTGACTGCGGCTGGACAGGCAGAGGACACTCTACGGAGGGAGGAGGACAAGGAGGAGGAGCCTGACCAAGAACCTGCTGAAGGAGCGGTACGAAGTACGGTCGCGGCCGCGCAGCGTCTCCAGAACCAGCAGGGACACCAGCAGCAGCGCCAACGTCCGAGTCCTCAGCACCAGCAGCAGCTCCAACACCCGGGTCCTCAGCACCAGCAGCAGCGCCACCGGTCGGGTCCTCAGCACCAGCAGTAGCTCCAACGCCCGAGTCCTCAGCACCAGCAGCAGCTCCAACGCCCGGGTCCTCAGCACGGGCAGCAGCTCCAACGCCCGGGTCCTCAGTACCAGCAGCAGAGCCACCGGTCAGGTCCTCAGCACCAGCAGTAGCGCCGCCGGTCGGGTCCTCAGCACCAGCAGCAGCTCCAACGCCCGGGTCCTCAGCACCAGCAGCAGCTCCAGCGTCCGGGTCCTCAGCACCAGCAACAGCGCCACCGCTCGGGTCCGCAGCACCAGGAGCACCACTCCGAAGACTGCAGCGCCGTGTGTACCACTCTCGGATCTGCTGAATGGGGGGGAGCTCCTGGGTAGGAGGGGAAGTACTGGGACGAGCTCCAGAAGCACCTCTCCGGAGGCGGCAGTACTCGAGGTACCTCTCCTGCAGCTGCTGGGAGGAGAGGGCTCCTCCAGGTGTAGTACGCGCAGGCTCAGCACCCGAAGACTCAGCACCCCCAGACTCAGCACCTCCAGGCTCCGCACCTCCAGGCTCCGCACCTCCAGGCTCAGCACCTCCAGGCTCCGCACCTCCAGGCTCAGCACCCCCAGGCTCCGCACCCCCAGACTCAGCACCCCCAGACTCAGGACGCGAGTCAACAGCTACCTCGACAGGCTCACCCGGGTCTACCTGGGACACACCTGAGGGAGCGGCACCCTGAGGGGGGAGGGGGTCTGGTACCTCAGCACCTGGAGCGAGGAAGAGAGGCAGGGGGGGGAGCGGGGCAGTGCGGTAGGGGAAGAGGCGGTAGAAGGGGACGGACTCGTCAAAAGTGACGTCCTGAGAGGCCAGAACCCGGCGCGAGGTGACGTGGTAAAACTGCCATCCAGGCGCGTCAGGCACAAAGCCAAGAAAGACACAGGGAACGGCGCGACGCGAGAGCTTGTCCGCGGACGTGTCGCGGACAAAAGCTCGAGATCCCCAGACCCGGAAACGCGACGCATCGCCAACCTCTCCCGTCCACCGCAGAGTCGGGGAAGTCTCCGGCAAGGAGACACGGGGCCAGAGGTTGAGCTGATGCGCAGCGTATCGGACCGCAAACGGCCACAGAAAGTGGGGAGCAGCCGCATGGGTCAGGGAGGTACGAGCGACCTCCATGACTAGGCCAATGCGGCGCTCAGCTACCCCATTCTGCTGCGGAGAGGCCGGAAGCGTGAACGACTGCTCAATGCCGTGCTCAGCACAGTAGGCTGCCAGGAGGTCGGAGGCGAACTCACCACCTCTGTCAGAGTGCAAGCGCAGGACAGGAAAGTCCGAGTGAAAGCGCTTGCCTAGCTGGAGACGGGCTCGGCTGATCCAGGGGATCAAAACACCAGGGACGTCACCCTTGGCGTGCAAGGGGAAGACCGTGGTGTAGCGCGAGTAGTCGTCAACAACTATCAGGAAGTACCTCTCCTGACCCTGACCACGGACGCGGGCTGGGCCCCACACGTCCATGTGGAGCGTCTGCAAGGGAGCAGTCGTCGGGGGAAAGGAGGAGGAGTGAGGAGCGGCGCGCTGCCGCCCTTCGACACAGGGAATGCAGTCAGGAGCAGGGGAGTCGGGAAGGGGAGGGAGCACCCTGGGAAGACCAGTAACAAGGTCCCGTTTGTGCATGGCCCGAAGGCGCTGCACAGACGGGTGACCAAGGCGGTGGTGCCAGAGGACAGTCTCATGTGCCAGAGAGCGACACGAGCAGGGGGCGGACAGCTGACCTGACGCAGACGCAGACGCAGCTACCTGAGGGGACTCAGTGGTCAGTGTGTACAGGTCCGACCCCGGCTCTCGAGTGAAAGTAGCCAGGTGGCGGCCCGTCCGAGCACACGTGCAGTGTGTCACACGCTCGTAGGCAGGGGTGAACTAGTGAACACCCCCGTCCTGCAGCGCACAACCTGCCACCAAGTTCGTAGAGAACGAGGGGAGGTAGAGACCTGAGAGCGTGCCGGACGGAACCGCTGGACACGGAAGTGTAGTGGAGGAGGTCGCAATGACCGGACCCCCAGAGGGGTCAGCAAGAGAGACAGCAACCGGCCGAGCTAGTGGCTCAAGGACAGTGCGGTCACGGAAGAAAGAGCGAGAAGCACCTGAGTCCAGTGTGAAGGTGTGCAGTGCTGCAGTCGACTCAGTACCAGGGGGCACAGACGCACTAGCACCTAGGGCAGCTGCTGCAGGAGGACCTGTGGGAGCAGACACACTAGCACCTAGAGCAGCAGCTGGGCTGGCCTGAATGCCCGGGTCAGGCGGAACACGCAAGTACTGGGCACCCTCTCCACTAATAGACATCGCATACATAGCAGTGAGAATAGCATCAAAGTCTAAAGCCCAGATATCAACACCCTTCTTTTCCAGCTCAGGCCAGCGGGGGAGCTCAGTAGACCCAGGAAACTGGATGCGCCACGCGTCAGTCAGGCGCTGGAAGCAGCGCTGCGTGGGGTGCGGCCTCCCACATGGCTGGCCAGTGCGGTCACCAGTGCGGATGACGTACGTGCAAGTGTACCCACGCTGCGCGTACCACTCACGGGCGGCCTGGAGGGTCGGGGCGTGCTGCTGACTCTGGCCACCTCCAGCGTCTCCACGGCCACCACCGCCACCGCCACCGCCACCGCCTCGGCCACCTCCACCCCTGCCACGGCCACGACCGCCACCGCCACCGCCGCCGCTGCCACCTCCGCCTCTGCCACCACCCCCGCCGCCGCTGTCACCACCCCCACTGCCGCCACTAGCCTCTCCAGACCCACCGCCACCTCCACTGTCTCCACCCCCGCCTCCCCCGCCTCCACCCCCACCCTTGCCCCCCCTGCTCTTGCGGCGCCCGCTCGAAGCAGACGCAGCCCCGACCTTCTCAGCACCAAGGAGGTCGACAGCAGCAGCAGTGGCGACAGAGGGGAGAAGGGGGGAAGGGGAACACCCCTCGAAGAAGGGGGTGCGGGGCTCGCCACGAGAGGCACCTACGGCGACGATGCTCGCCTCAGCTGCAAGTAGGTCCTTCTCGAGGAGGGCAATGGTGAGCTCAGTAGGGGAGCGAGCTAGAAAGGAGTCCCTGACTGTGCGCAGAGAGTCAGGGAGGCGGGTGACAATGTGGTAGAGGGTGAGCCAGAGCGGGGGGGGGTTGCTAGCAAGGAACTCGGCAGGCATAGCAGCGCGAAAACGGGCCTCACTAGTCTTGAGGTGGGTGATGAGATCAGCGACAGTGTGAAAGGAGGCCAGGTCGGGGAACAGGTAGGGCAGGGAGAGGCGGCCTAGGGTGGCAGACGCAGGCGAGGAGTAGCGAGCAACTACGGCTGTGTACAGTTCCTTAGCAGTCTTGCACTGGCCGAAGTGCTCGCGCTCATCTAGCGGCAGGGAGTTGCGGATAGCAAAGCGAGCGTGTGCGTCGCGGGTCTGCCACTGGGAGCGCAGTGTGCTAGCAGCAGAGGAGTCAGGGGCAGTAGCATGGCCTAGGGCGTGGTCGTACAGTGAAATGTCTTCCTTGGCAGTGAGCTGTAGGAAAAGGTGCAGATCATCGAGCCAGGTGTCAAATTTCACTGGGCGGCCCTCAGCGTCGAAGGCTAGAACAGGAGCAGTAGCCATGGTAGCAGGAGGAGGAAAAGTAAGTAATAAACTTGGCAGTGACAGTAGCAGCAGGGCAAGGCAGGGCCGGGGCAGTCGCGACAGCGGCGGCAGTTGCTGCAGGTTCGGCTACAGTAGGGACTGCAGGGCCGGCGGCAGCCGATGGAGTAGACTCGGCGGTTGCGGCTGCTGCAGGATCGGCGGCGGCTGCTGCTGCTGGGTCGGCGGCGGCTGCTGCTGCAGAGGCAGCGGCGGCTGATGCTGCTGTAGCTGCGGCGGCCGCTGCTGTAGCTGCGGCGGCCGCTGCTGTAGATTGCGGCGGCTGCTGCTGCCGTAGATGCGGCGGCGGCCGCTGCTGTAGATGATGCGGCAGCTGCTGCTGCTGTAGATGCAGCGGCGGCTGCTGCAGAAGATGCGGCGGCTGCTGTCAAACATTATATGTTTATATTGTTCTAGGCTGTAGTGGGTGATACCTTAGGGGGTATACCAGGTTAGGGTTTCATATTTGTACTGTTGTTCCTGTTAGTCACACCATTCCTGCTCAGTTATTTCTGACATGGTATCAGAGCAGGTCCTTCACTAGGACTGTTCTTAGGGCCCACCGACTTACCTACCTGCTTACCTTCGCTTGTTTCCGGCCCCGCTGGCCCCGTCGATCTAGCACGATCTAGCGGCCCTGCGGCCCCGTCAAACTTTTTTTTTTCCTAGCGGCCTCTCACGGCCCCCGTCGCGTCGCCCCTTAGCGCCCCGATCGGCCCCGTCACGCCGCCCGCGAACCGCACAGCGCGCCGCGCTCACAGCCCGCGAACCGCCCGCGCACAGCCCGCGAACCGCCTGCGCAGCCCGCGACCAGCCCGCGCAGCCCGCGCACAGCCCGCGAACTGCCCGCGAGCAGCCCGCGACCTGCCCGCGAACCCCCGCGAGCCGCCCGCGACCCGCTTACGCAGCCCGCGAGCAGCCCGCGCAGCCCGCGCTGAGCCTGCGCGGCTCGTGCGCTGACCGCCGCCGGCCCGCACGCTGCCCGCACAGCTCATATACGGCCCGCACGGCCCGCGCGCTGCCTGCTCCCGGCCCGCCGCTGCTGAGCCCGCAGCCGCCCGCGCACCGCCGCTGCTGAGCCCGCCGCCGCCCGCGCACCGCCGCTGCTGCGCCCGCCGCCGCCCGCGTATCACCGCTGCTGAGCCCGCCCCTGCTGCGCCGGCTCTCGCTGCCGCCTGCTGCGCCTGTGCACCACTGCAGATCCTACTACTACACTTCCTGCTACTGCTGCTTGTGCGCCACTACAGTCCGTAGGCCCCACCGGCCCCACTGACCCTGCGCACGCCTTTTCAGTGACTTTACTGCTTCTACTACTGCCGCTGTCGCTATGGCTAGTCCTCCTGTTCTAGCTTTCGACGCCGAGGGCCGTCCGGTCAAATTCGAAACCTGGCTAGATGACCTGCACCTTTTCCTACAGCTCACTGCCAAGGAAGATATTACACTGTACGACCACGCTCTCGGCCATGCGACCGCCCCACTCGCTACTGCCCCCCCAGCTGAGCGCTCACAGTGGCAGACCCGTGACGCGCACGCTCGCTTTGCTATTCGCAACTCCCTGCCGCTAGATGAGCGCGAGCACTTCGGCCAGTGCAAGACTGCTAAGGACCTCTACACAGCTGTAGTGGCCCGCTACTCCTCACCCGCTTCTGCCACGCTAGGCCGCCTCACTCTCCCCTACCTGTTCCCCGACCTAGCCTCCTTTCACACTGTCGCAGACCTCATCACCCACCTTAAGACGGTGGAGGTGCGACTGGAGAGGCTAGTGGCGGCAGTGGTGGAGGTGACAGCGGCGTTGGGAGTGGTGACAGGGGCGGAGGTGGCAGCGGAGGCGGAGGTGGTCGTGGCAGCGGCAGGGGTGGAGGTGGCCGGGGCGGAGGCGGAGGGGGTGGTGGTCGTGGAGGCCCGGGGGGCGGTCAGAGTCAGCAGCCTGCCCCGACCCTTCAGGCCGCCCGTGAGTGGTATGCGCGGCGCAGCGTCACCTGCCAGTACGTTATTCGTACAGGTGACCGCACTGGCCAGACGTGTGGGGGGCCGCACCAGACGGAGCGCTGCTTCGCCCGCCTCAACGATGCGTGGCGCACCCAGTTTCCTGGTGGGGGTGAGCTGCCGCGCTGGGCTGAGCTGCTCAGGAAGGGTGTTGATATTTGGGCACTGGACTTTGATGCTATTCTCACTGCCATGTATGCGATGTCTATTAGTGGAGAGAGTGCTCAGTACTTGCGTGTTCCGCCCGACCCGGGCATTCAGGCCAGCCCCGCTGCTGCTCTAGGTGCTAGTGTGTCTGCTTCCACAGGTACTACTGCAGCTGCTGCTCTAGGTGCTTGTGCGTCTGTGCCCCCTGGTACTGAGTCGACTGCAGCACTGCACACCTTCACACTGGACTCAGGTGCTTCTCGCTCTTTCTTTCGTGACCGCACTGTCCTTGAGCCTCTAGCTCGGCCGGTTGCTGTCTCTCTTGCTGACCCCTCTGGGGGTCCGGTCCTTGCGACCTCCTCCACCACCCTTCCGTGTCCAGCGGTTCCGTCCGGCACGCTCTCAGGTCTCTACCTCCCCTCGTTCTCCACGAACTTGGTGGCAGGTAGTGCGCTCCAGGACGGGGGTGTTCACCAGTTCACCCCTGCCTACGAGCGTGTGACTCACTGCACGTGTGCTCGGACGGGCCGCCACCTAGCTACTTTCACTCGAGAGCCGGGGTCTGACCTGTACACACTGACCACTGAGTCCCCTCAGGTAGCTGCGTCTGCGTCAGCGTCAGGTCAGCTGTCCGCCCCCTGCTCGTGTCGCTCTCTGGCGAACGACACCGTCCTCTGGCACCACCGCCTTGGTCACCCGTCTGTGCAGCGCCTGCGGGCCATGCACAAACGGGACCTTGTTGCTGGTCTTCCCAGGGTGCTCCCTCCCCTTCCTGACTCCCCTGCTCCTGACTGCATTCCCTGTGTCGAGGGGCGGCAGCGCGCCGCTCCTCACTCCTCCTCCTTTCCCCCGACGACCGCTCCCCTGCAGACGCTCCACATGGACGTGTGGGGCCCAGCCCGCGTCCGTGGTCAGGGTCAGGAGAGGTACTTCCTGATAGTTGTTGACGACTACTCGCGCTACACCACGGTCTTCCCCTTGCGCGCCAAGGGTGACGTCCCTGGTGTTTTGATCCCCTGGATCAGCCGAGCCCGTCTCCAGCTAGGCGAGCGCTTTCACTCGGACTTTCCTGTCCTGCGCTTGCACTCTGACAGAGGTGGTGAGTTTGCCTCCGACCTCTTGGCAGCCTACTGTGCTGAGCACGGCATTGAGCAGTCGTACACGCTTCCGGCCTCTCCACAGCAGAATGGGGTTGCTGAGCGCCGCATTGGCTTAGTCATGGAGGTCGCTCGTACCTCCCTGACCCATGCGGCTGCTCCCCACTTTCTGTGGCCGTTTGCGGTCCAGTACGCTGCGCATCAGCTCAACCTCTGGCCCCGTGTCTCCTTGCCGGAGACTTCCCCGACTCTGCGGTGGACGGGAGAGGTTGGCGATGCGTCGCGTTTCCGGGTGTGGGGATCCCGAGCTTTTGTCCGCGACACGTCTGTGGACAAGCTCTCCCGTCGCGCTCTTCCCTGTGTCTTCCTTGGCTTTGTTCCCGACGCGCCTGGATGGCAGTTTTACCACGTCACCTCGCGCCGGGTTCTGGCCTCTCAGGACGTCACTTTTGACGAGTCCGTCCCCTTCTACCGCCTCTTCCCCTACCGCACTGCCCCCCTCCCCCCTCCGCCGCTCTTCCTCACTCCAGGTGCTGAGGTACCCGACCCCCTCCCCCCTCAGGGTGCCGCTCCCTCAGGTGTGTCCCAGGTAGACCCGGGTGAGCCTGTCGAGGTAGCTGTTGACTCGCGTCCTGCGTCTGGGGGTGCTGAGCCTGGGAGTGCTGAGTCTGGGGGTGCTGGGCCTGGAGGTGCGGAGCCTGGGGGTACTGAGCCTGGGGGTACGGAGCCTGGGGGTGCTGAGCCTGGGGGTGCGGAGCCTGGGGGTGCGGAGCCTGGAGGTGCTGAGTCTGGGGGTGCTACGTCTGGGGGTGCTGAGCCTGAGCGTGCTACGCCTGGAGGAGCCCTCTCCTCCCAGCAGCTGCAGGAGAGGTACCTCGAGTACTGCCGCCTCCGGAGAGGTGCTGCTGGAGCTCGTCCCGGTACTTCCCCTCCTTCCCAGGAGCTCCCCCCCATTCAGGTGATTCGAGAGTGGTACACACGGCGCTGCAGTCTTCGGAGTGGTCCTCCTGGCGCTGCGGACCCGGGCGTTGGAGCTGCTACAGGTGCTGAGGACCCGGACGTTGGAGCTGCTCCTGGTGCTGCGGACCCGACTGGTGGCGCTGCTGCTGGTACAGAGGACTCGGACGTTGGAGCTGCTGCTGGTGCTGAGGACCCGACCGGTGACGCTGCTGCTGGTGCTGCGGACCAGGGCGTTGGAGCTACTGCTGGTACTGAGGACTCGGGTGTTCGAGCTACTGCTGGTGCTGAGGACTTGGGCGCTGGGGCTGCCGCTGGTGTCCCTGCTGCTTCTGGAGACGCTGCGCGGCCGCGACCGTA